ATTCAATTTTAATGGTTTTAAATTATTTATTTATTATTATTTTATGTGTATGAGTGTACTGCCTGCATATATGTAAGTGCACCTGTCCTGGAGTGTCTGCTGGGAATCAAACCCAGGTCCGCTGCAAGAGCATTCAGTGTGCTTAACTGCTAAGCCATCTCCAGCCCAGGTTTTGTTTGTTTGTTTTGGTTTACTTATTTACTTATTTTTGGTCTTTTTGAGACAAGGTCTCCCTGTAGCCCCAACTGGCCTGTCACTCATTATATAGACCAGGTGGGCCTCAATCTCACAGAGATCAGCCTCTGCTTCCTGAGTGCTGACTAAAGGCATGCACCACCATGCCTGGCTGATTTTAATGTTTTAAACTAAGGGTGTGGAGTCTTTACAGTTGCCCTTGATGACTGCTGCAGCCAGGAAGTAAGATTCTCTAGCTCACTTCTAGAAGCAGTTACAGAACTCAGTAACTGCTTATTTGTCTGGCTTGGCCTCTGAAAGGAGATGCCTTTTTATTTATACAGACTAAATAGAAAGTAACTTCACCTTTCTGAAAATGATAACCATGGTCAAAATTTATGACAGTTGTGTCATTGAGATGGCTCACTGGGTAAAGGAGCTTGCTGCCACGTCTGACAATCTGAGTTGCTTCCTAGGACCCATATGAATGACAAGGCACATGTGCACACACACACACACACACACACACACACACACACGAAAATATATGTAATAAAGCATTTTTAAATGTATGACAATCCACACCATTAGTATGTAAGGATACACTATTACCTTTCAGGATTTGCTTTCTTCCTTTTTTCAGTGAATAGTGTTTTTATTGGATTTTCAGAAATGATTTTAATCTACACTGCACGGAAGATGAAAAAATTCAAATTTCCTTTTTTTTAAAGCTTTTAAAAACTTTTATTTACTTATTTTTATTTTATGTGTAATGAGGGTTTTGCCTGCATATACGTAAGTACATTGTGTTCATGCTATGCCTGAAGAGGCCAGAAGAAGGCATCGTGTTCCCTGGAACTGGAGTTACAGATGGTTGTTTGTTAGCTAACATGTGAGTGCTGGGAACCAAACCCCAGTTCTCTGCAACAGCAGTCAGTGCTTTTAACTGCTGATCCATCTCTGTAGGCCCTCAAATTAATTTTTATCAGATAAAAACAAAGATAGACTAAAGTGTAATTGGCCTATATGAATAAAAATTCTCATTGTGCTCATATACATCTTATAATTGTTAAATTTATGTTTTTCATACGAATCCAGGTACTTCTAGGAAGTTTTGAGATCAAAATTCTACTATCTTTGTATGCTTGGGTCTAGACCTATCTAGAGTGGAGTTTCTAAACATTGTGGACTTTCCTGTTCTGTGGAGTACTCCCAAGCTGACATCAGTGTGTTTGAGGCAGCACCTCAAATTACCAGAATCTATGGCAGTGGTCAGGTAGATTCCACCCAATGCAAACATTTGTCTGGGGTATTGCCCACAAAGGTACTGTGATTTATAATTTTATGAGAAAATAAAGTCATTTTCTGAGCATGAGTGAAGTTGCTTTAGGGAATGAGAACAATAAAGATTTTACAATATTGATAAAGACTTCATTGTACTTAGTGAACTGTGGAGCATCAAGGGTCTGATATTAACTTTCAGTTCCTCTTCAACAAGGAATGTCTGAGTTTATGTGTTCATCGTGGCCTAAAGAATGTGCCCCATGCTTCACAAATTGTTTTAAGAACCACTATAAAATGCTGACTGTGTGTTAGGCAATGGACTGCTGTAGATAAAAAATATGAGTGATGTCCCCCATGCAGTGATTGAATGAGAAAGGTGTGTAAACAAGCAAAGGCACAACTTCTAAGTCTAGGCTAACCGTTTCACATGTATTATTTCATAAGACAGACAGGACAGTACAGAGACACATTCGCCATTTTCCTGATCTCATAAAAGAGAAAATAAAAATTGTAGAAAGTGGAGTTGTTTGAACATTTTTTTTCAGTAAAGACCTGAGTCCAATAAATGCATAGGATTATTTTGGGTGGTTCTTTCTAAAAAATTACATTTGTCAACAATTACATAGCTGTTACAAAACAAGCAAACAAAATAAACAAAATAATAAAAAGTCTTCTGGAAAATAGCAAGCGCTGCCTGTGTTGTAGAAGAATTGGAATTCATGTTCATTACTGGCAGGGATATAAAACAGTGCAGTCACTGTGCAAACTGAGATGGCCATTCCTCACAAAAATTAAGCTTCTGGACCTGGGAACTAGCAGGAAATCTTGTTGTGACTTTGAGACTGACATATTTGTTGTTACGCTAGCATGGTTACCAATAACTTGTAAATATTTAAGTAGAAGTGACAGTGAGCTATATATAGATCCAATTAAAGCTAAATAAAAGTTATTCTCCATTCAGCTTCCTCCATCAGGATCTCAGCAATGCCCACAGCCACTGGAACTCCACCTGACTCAGGAAATACAGAGGTGGGTAGGCAGGCTAGATGGTAATGGAGTTGACTCTGTGTAGGCACATTGTGCAAATTTGATCTAAACATATAACAGTATAAACTCACGTGTAGGCCCTTCTAGGATATTGGAAGTAAACTGAATAAGCAAACAGTCCTGGAGCTTAAATGTGCTATCTCACAATAGAGCTACTCTGCCCAAGTCCGTTCAAATTCACATTGTTCTTTTAGCACTTGAGTTAAGTGTGAAGCATTGAGGTAAGGCAATGAAGGTCAGGAACTAGACAGAAAGGAACATAGAACAGTTTTGCCAAAGAGGCTCAGGAGTGAAGGACTTCCCTAGCTTGTGCTCCTTCCTTGCCTTCCTTTTTTTCTTTCTTTCCCTCCTCCTTTTTGCCTTTCTCTCTGTGTCTTTCTTTACATCATTTTTAAAAGGAACAATGGTTACAACAGATGTTCTGAACAAATGAAAAAATTAAAATAAACATTGGCATAAAAGGATTAAAAAAAAAAAAAGATCATGGGCCAGAGAGATGGCTCAGCAGTTAAGAACACTGTTCTTACAGAAGACCTGGGTTCGAATCCCAACACCCACATGGCAGCTAACAACTGCCTGTAACTCCAGTTCCAGGAGATCTGACAGCCTCTTCTGTCCTCTGAAGGCATTGCACAACACGGGTGCACTTACCTACATATAGGCATAACACTCATACACATAAAATAAAACAAACAAAAAAACCCAGATCATGCCATCTCCAGGGAGCCCTAACACATTCTAAATGAGCCTGTCTTTCTGGGAGAGCATAGAGAAGGCTCGGGTAAGGTTGAGAACCTAAGGCTGTCTCAGAGGCACCATGGAGACCATGAAGAACCTTTGTGCCTGGCACATAGCATCCCACCCACAGTTCAAAAACAGAATGGTAGGAAAGGGTTAGCTGCAGAGCAATGAACTCGGTGTAAAGTATGTAATGCTGTAAAACAAAACATCTAATAGATAGGAAACAATAGGACTATTTCCTGACGATGCAGGAAATAGTCAATAAAATTATAATCTGATGATTGCTATAAATGCATATTAAAAGGTATAAAAAGCTCACAAACTCCAGTAATAAAATGGGAATTAGTTAAATTTTGTTAAGTGATAAAGAACATTAGTGTGTAAAGGGACTTTCATTGATCAACTTTCTTTTAAAAATTGTTTTAAAAAAAAGGTGACTGAAAATTGGATAAAGATCCACAGGACAAGGAAAGCTGTTACTTGAGAAAAGCGCACCACATGCCAACCTTTGTCTCAAGCCAATCAGCTTGGATACGTTCAGCACCTGACTAGGTCCCTGATCCACTCAAACATTTTATTGACACTTCACTCTTGACCTTGGCTCTCAGTACTATAATCTCAGCCATATAAGTCTCTTCCATTTATTTGAGTAAGTAACTTTGCAATTCTGGGAGAAGAGAGAGAGAAGGTACCTAAGGGAATGTTAAAGGAAGTTAGTATGTTCATGTTAAGTTTAGTAATTTATAACCTTTGGAATAACCCATAAAAGTTTCTGAAAAGACTGTAAATATATAACAGAATCTGACATATTAGAAAATTAGATGGATAAGAGCTAGTGAGATGGTTCAGCAGGTTAAGGCACTCGCCACCAAGTCCAATGACCTGAGTTTGATCCCTGGGATCCTCGTGGTAGAAGGAGAGAACATACTCTTCCAAGTTGTCCTCTGACCTCCACACACGTACCATAGCATGCATTTACTCCCATATACACACACAAACACACATAATAAATAAAAAATAAAAAATAAATAAATAAATGTAATAAGAAGGAAACTAAGTGGACAAACTATACAGTTTTAACTTTGAAGGAATAAGATAATTTTCTTGTCTCTACACAGTGCTAAAAGGTATAAAAGAATGATAATGCAGATTTTGATCTATTCCTGTTTTATTTTCTTCTGACTTTTTGAGATAAAACCTCACTATGTATCCTAGACTAGTCTTGAACTTGAGACTCTCCTGCCTCAGCCTCCTGAGTTCTGAGATCATAGGTGTGTTCTATCATACCTGAACTGATCTATTTAATCAAAGTAGCTTTAATTATTAGCATCCCTTTCTCCTTTAAAATTTTTTATTAAGTGTGTAAAAGACTTAATCATTTATACGAAGCATCTTAAATGTTTAATAATTATGTCAAACATTTGAGATGCTTCATAAATTCTAATAGATTGTAGTTGACATAGATTACAATATTAAGGAACTTAATCAAGCCTATCAATTACATGGGTTAGGGGAATTAACTTTGAATTAAGCATTAACCAAAGAATAGGCAAAACTAATAAATCATATTTCCCCTCCCAATTTCAAGATAGAAAATACTTATTTGTTAAACATAAATCTTTAGAAAAACTAGACTTTAAACAATACAACTTTAATACACTGAGAAGAAAGTAGAACTGTATTTTTTAGTTTAAAGACTGATGGATAGACACAGGAGCACTTGGCTAGATGAAATACAGAACTCTGTTACTTACAGCTCCAAACAGAGAAGGCTGTTGGTGAGGTCACACAGTGGGTCGTACTTGATTGAGAATTGGGTACAGCAAGCTGGAGTAGTCAGGCAACTTATATACAGCAGGCTGGGTGGGGTTAGCTATGCTCCCAGGTTGGCTGATTTGAATAACCCTGGTGGGCTCTGGGGCCCAGGGGCTGCCCCTAGTTATCTGTTGCCTGGCTGCAGAGTGATTAGCACAGGTCCATAGTGGCCCCAGAGCATGAGAGCCTGATAAAAGAAGTGGTTGGGGTGTGGACTTAATCAACTGTTCAAGAGAGCGAACTGGTCAGCCCCTATCTGGGTCTCAAAACCAGATCAAGACAGCACACGCAAAAAATAAAAACATACACAACCCTATGTAACCATTGGAGTCCTGGGTCTCTTAGTGACAGTTTCAAGGTAAATTATTTGGGGGTATTTGGGTGATCTGAATATAAGAAGTAGCTACAGAATGTGACAATAGTTTCTGATGGCAGGAAGAAAGCAACTTTTCGAGGATTGAGTAAGTGAGCCCAGAAAGCATTCTAATATGGCACTAGAAAGGAGATGATGAAGTGGACAAACGAAGGGTAGCTGAAGCTTGATTTATGGCTGGTCTCACCATTTTCTTGGTGGTCAGCAGACAAAAAAGGCATGTGGGGCCTCAGGAGCATTTTGTCTGAATTATAGAAGTTTGTCTAGAAGTACAAAGTATGCTAAAGATGCAAGTTTAATCCAAGGTTTGTTAGAGCATCCCCTTGATTGTTGGAGTTAATCCACAAACAAGAACTATCAATGTTACAAATACTGTCCTAACTAGCTAATACAGAATCGATGTAGAAATTTATTGATGAAATTGTATTTGCCCTGGTTTTCTGGGCTTCATGAAGCAGACCTCACATCTGTTATTACTTTGGAAATATGAGACACTGGAGTTTGGGGGGCACTTGTAAGTTAGCAGCAACAGTTTTCGCTGTTGAGGGAAAATGGTTTCTACGGTCATTCCAGCATGTCCCCAAGCAACTGTCACAGCTACAGATTAGGCACATATGTGATGTCTGGTCAAGTGGGGGAGGAATGATTGACATTATACATGTGGGAAGACAGGAGAGACCTGGGCATGTCCATATGGCTTTAGGCTTGAGGGTACTGGAAGAACAAACTAGGGAGATGTGTATCCTTGCTTGTGGGACTGCAGTATAGCATGCCATAATCTTCAGGTTGGAAAATTGTGCCTCATTTTAGGTAAGTGAAACTGACTGAAGGACAGGAATGAAAATGAAAAAAACACAGAGCTTTTGTTGGGCCTGTGGTAAGAGCATAGACTTGCCTGCTGAGAGAAGCATGAAGGCCACTTGTCATGAGGGGGCACCCCAGATACAGGGAGGAGGCGGTTTGGAAGGTTTTAATTTCTCAGTGTATCTCTGGGGGGGGTGATTATCAACTTGGTAGATATGTGGTGTGTGATATACGGACACAGGCTGATGATATATCTAACCATTGCAGGCAGTCAGTGAGTAAGAGGCATCTTCAGTCAAATGTGTGTACTTTGAATATTTGTATAAATATCTAAGGGCTAAGGCGATGGGCCTGAGTTTTGCTGACTGTGTCTTTTATAATGCAAGAGTGGCAGAAGCTGTTAAGAGTCTACAGTGGGAGGTAGGAGACCTAGTGATGAGGAAGTTGGGGAAGTATAAATGGGATTGAATGATTTGAACCCTTTGAGGCAAGTAGAATTCCCCTGCTACTTTTCAGAGGGAAAGCGTGTAGTTGGCAGCCTTTGGTATGGTTAACCATGCCTAAGTAGGAAGGGGGGTAGTATCAGCAGGAACTTGAATCTTAAAAGCATTATAGAGGCATTAGATGTGGTCCTATGGGGCCTTAACCTTACCAATGTTATAAAATCAAATCTCAGTCATAGGGAGCAGAAATTAGAACTGTGTAATACCACAGGCTTCAGTTGTGGAGAATAAAGACAGTAGTGTCTGGGAAGTTACTTCAATTTGATAGGTCCACCTTTCAAAACAAGACTCAGTAGACTAATTAGCTACTGAGTTCTGGAGTCTCCTGTGGCAGAAAGGCTTCCCAAATTCTGTGCAGTTTCTAGGGGACTAAATCCCTAATAAGCTGACAGGCTCACTGAGAAGTAAAGTGGCATATGTAAAGATGGTACACTTCCTGATGCTTCTTGGTCTCTAGCAGGAAGGCCTTATTTTTATTTATTTATTTTTTTTGGTCTTTTTGAGACAGGGTCTCCCTGTAGCCCCAGCTGTCCTGGAACTTACTATATAGACCAGGCTGTCTTTGAACACACAGAGATCCGCCTGCCTTTGCCTCCCAAGTGCTGGGATTAAAGCTGTGTGCTACCACACCCAGTGGAAGGCCTTATTTTTAATTCCAATAGGGCCCCTTCAACTGACTTGCTTAGACTGGATGCCTCATTATTTGGAGCCATTAAGCCTATTAGCACAAACTACTTTGTTTAAATTGACCAGCACACAATTAGGGGAAGGGGAAAACACTGGACACTTACAACCCAGAGCCTCTTGGGGGGCCTATTGGATTTCAGTTTCCAGGTCCCCTCCCCACTTGTAGCGAGCTTAATATTTCTTTATGAATGTGTGTATGTATGTGTGATTTTTGTATGTGTGGATATGATTCCTTATCTTTCAATAAAAGTTTGTTACTCTCTGTTGGTCTGAGATTTTTTTCCCCTGCCTTTCAGGTCTTTATTTGGCTGAGAAAATGAAGTCAACAATACCCCTAGACTGATAATGTACCCACCACAACAAGTCCACACTCACAGTAGTTGGTGACATGACAAAAATCAATTCTAAAAGTAAAGTCTTTGGGCCAGGCTGATGTGATACTAAAGATGGCTTCCCACATAGAACCCATGTGTGATATACTTTTGTCGCATATGGTGTGGCAACAAGACCGAGCCATTTGTAAATTTGAATGCAACATTGGGCTCCAGCAACTTGGTTTGCAAATGTCTTTTCAGTTGTAGACTTATGGGTATTCAGGTAGAGATGATGGAACTGTAACTGAATCAAATGCCGAAGTCTGAGTGGCTTAATTACAGTCTAGGTCTGTATAGGGAGGCAAATCTAAAGCTTCTCAACAGCACAAGATGTTTCTGTGGACTAGTGATGAAAGGTTAGGCTATATACAGTTTAGATCACATGGAGTGATTTCTGTACATATGATCAACAGGATGTTGGCTGTTGTTGGAACTTCTGTATCAGCCTGCAGAAGATCTAATTTAACCAAGCATGAGGGCCTTTCATCTCAGATATTGGTTGGTTGATGATAGGCAAATCATGGAAAATTTTGGTTAAAAGCCTTGCTGTGCTCAAATGAAGTAGCCTCAGAATGTTCTATGTCTGGTTGAAACAAGAAATTTGGAAAATCTGAGACTCTAGATCACAGAACAATGAAACCAGCCAGTAATATCAATAAGATCAAATCCAGCATGGTACAGCTGCATCATGTAGCATTTTGTTGTTTGGTATTTCCTTTTGGTGGGAATTGCCATCAAAGAAGGGTTGCTTGGTCTGATAGTAGGATAGATTATTGAATGTTTTGATTTTGAGGCTGGATCCTGCTACATAGCCTAGTAGGCTTCAAACTCCCAACCCTCCTATTGCCTCTGTCTTCCTAGTACTGGGATTATAGATGTGAGCCACCAAGGCACACTTGCCATCATCATTTTTCCATGGGCTTGATTTTCTCCCTCCATGGTAACTACATTTTGTGGAAATTTCCCTAGAGCAATAACTTCAGTTTCTTTAAGTAAACTGGGTGGGAAGTCAGATTAATCATCTATCCCTGACAGTAAGAATAGTAAGGAAAATTTGGGGGTGGTAGAAGTTTTAGCGCAAATGGATCCAATAACAAGTGGGTGCATTCCAGTCTGTAGGATAGCATATACTTGATTACTGAAGAGCACCTGCCACAGTTAATCTTGCATGTGAACTTGATTGGATCTGGAATCAACTAAAAGATATGCTCATGGGTAAATCTGTAAGAACACTTTCTGTAAGAGTTAGTTGAGAGGGTAGACTGTCCCCCAGAGTCAGAAGTACCTTCTAGATGCAACCCATATACAAAGATATCTGAGGGAAAAGCTGCTGCTTTGCCTACCTTCCCTTGCTCCTGGTACTGAGTGCATCTACCCTGCCATCCTTCACTGACATTGGAATGAAGATGCATCTGTCTTCCAATGTGAACTGAAGACCTGAGGCTCTCCAGGATTACCCCAGGCCTTCATTGCCAGATTAGGACTGCTTCTCTCACTTCTCTCTGTAATGCTTCAAGTATTCTTTGAAGGGCTGTTTTTGTTGACAAACCAGGCTATTCATGTCATTGAAGAGTTTTCTTTCCCTCTCAGCTATAATAGACATTTTTGCTGGGTAAAGTATTCTGGACTAGCGTCTATTGTCATGTAGAATGGGAAATACTTTAGTCCAGGCTCTTCTGGCTTTCATAGTTTGCATTGATAAGTCAGCTATAATTCTTATTTCCTTTGTATGTGACTTGTTTTTCTTTTGCTGCTTTCAGTATTCTCTCTTTGTTCTGTACATTTAGTGTTTTTACTATGATATGTCATGGGGAGTTTCTTTTCTCATCCTATTTGATGTTCTATGTGCTTCCTGTATTTGTATGGGGATGTCTTTCCTTAATTTCTGGAATTTCTCTTCTACAATCCTCCTATGATCCTGTTTAAGATCTGGTCAACACTATTAACCTGAAAATTTCCTTCCTCTATTCCTATGATCCATAGATTTGATCTTTTCATGGAGTCAAACATCTCTTGCATATTCCATTCCTGTGTTTTTAAAAATTTTCCATAATCTTTGCTTGAGTGGTCCAGTTCTTCAACTTTATCTTCCAGTGTTGATACTGTTTTCCATTTCATTCATTCTAGAGGTAAGGCTTTCTCCTGTTGTTTCATATTGGTTTATTGAGTTTTGCACTTCCTTCTTAATTTCTTCCTGCGTTTTCTTCAATGTTTCTGTCTCTTTTGTGAATTCATTCAGAAGTT